CCGCGCTTCCCAAGCGGCGCACTTATCCAGTGCGCCACCGGGCCGGCCCATAAATATAATTAAAATCTTAATATTTCGTTTAATTAAAATTAAATTGAAATTTGCTTTTCTGAAATCTATGATGTCAATCTCCTCCCCCACATTTCTTTTTTTTTTTGGCAGCTGGCCAGTATGGGGATCCGAACCCTTGACCTTGGTGTTGTTATCAGCACCATGCTCTAAAGATTTCTTTATTAGCTATTTGTATCTGCTCTTCCATAAGACGTTTGTATCTCTTGCCCATTTATTAGAATTGAGCGATATTTTAGAAATTCACATTCTTAAAAAATTTCTGTAGCCTACCTTTGAAGAATTTACAATAATTTATGTTTTATGTATAATTTTAGAGATTCATTTTTAGAAGAGTTTTTGCATAAATATGGAGAGTGCTTACCTGGAAGATTTTCAGTGCTTTTATAAGTCCTCCAACTTCATTCTTTAAGGAAAAAATGAGAGTTGCTCTTCCCCTTTCTAAGGAATGGTCTTTGTTCTCCTTATTGTCTTCAATCATGATTAACTTGGTGTACTTCTCTAAAAATAAAGTATAAAAATATAAAGGGCTAAAATATAAGTTGTGCAATGTAAACAATATTTAATAACTAAGGGAATATTAACTTCTCCAAGCTTCAGTTCTTTGCATAAAAACCTGAATACGCAGATATGGTTTGCAAGACTGTAATGAGACCAAAATAAGATAACACATTGCCTAACATAGTGCCTGAAATGTAATAGGCATACAAAATACGCTAGTAGTTCCCTTTTCTTTTTTTCTAATCCAATCCTTCTTTCAAGGCATGACTCAAGCCCACTGGTTTCTTGCAGTTTTCCTGATATTGGGCCCTCTTTCTCTACGAAGGCCTACCTCCCCTTCCCCAACAATCTTAGCCCTTCATTATACTGGGTCTCGAATGGCTTCCCCAAATATTTTCTTCATCTGTGTCTCATCTTCTAACAAGGAAGCAAGCTGCTTCAGAGCAGGGACAAGGCCTTCTATTTCTTTTGCAAACTGAAGAGCCTGGCCAGCTCTGTACACATGTGGACGAGAAGGGCAACCGCTAGCCAGGAGAATTCTGGAACCACTGAAGTGTCCTCTTTCCTCTCTGCCCATGAATCCCCTAGGCCATGGGCCCTGAAGCCTTTTCAGTATTAGCCTACAAGTGCTACATGATTATAAATCCAACTCTGTGTGTATGTGTGTGAATGTGTATGTGTGTGTTGGGGGAGGTGAGGACACTATGGGGAACAGAAGTAGGCTACAATAATTTGCTCTGGTGACTTTCAGTTGAGAGATTCACAACTGAGAAAAATTTAAGATTTGTATTAATAAATGGAAACAGCATATTGAGGACTTATTCTTATTAGTTTTCCTCTGCTTATTAATCCTTCAAAATTGAAAAGTATCATGTTGTAGTTCTAAAGGAATTAAGCTATAACAACGTAAAATGATATAACTGATTTCACTGTCTTTCACCTGCTCTCATTAGTTGAGCCAAGCCTGCGGCACGAACACTCAGAGCAGATATATTGATGACAGTGTGGGCTTGGAGCCAGATAGACTGTGTTCCAGTGCCGTATAGCTCAAACTGCACTTCCTCCAGGAAGCCTTCCCTGACCTTGCCAGGTCAACTCCCCTTGGTGTTGGTTATCATAGCACCATATGCCCCCCATTCATAACAACAATCACACTTGTAGCCCTGTTTTGGTATTTGGTTATGTGTCTCTCCAACTAGACAGTGAGCTCTGTGGGGACAGGGATGACGCTGCTTTTACTCGCCATTTGCATCCCCAGCACCTAGCGCAGTCCCTGCACATAACACACACTGGGTAGATGTGACCGAATGAATAACTGAATAAAAGATTGATTAAAGACACCATCCCCATGATCAGGGAACTGAAAGTTGGTAGGAGATAATGACAATGCAGAAGGACAAGAACTGTAACAGGGAGCACAGATGGCATAGTGATGGCTGTGACTAGATTAATTATCCTGGTACATATCCAGAGAGGATTCCTTGAAGATGTATTTGAACAGGATCTTAAAGAAAAGGGGGGGGAGCAGATAAGGAGGTAAAAGACAAAAGTTGAGGAGGTGACCAACCGTTACAGAGCAGTGAGAGATCATGTAGTCAAAGTAAGCAGGGCCAGGTCCTTCCAAAGGCTCTGCAGAGGTAGTGCAGGGGAGCTTGGACTTGATTTTCTATGCCCATCCAAATGCCCATCTAAGCCCCGTGGCCAGTCTGACCCAAAGCTAAATGAGAAAAATAAGGACAAGGTAGCTTTCCATTAAGCTAAACTCCTGCCTTTGAAATGCTTTTCTATGGATGATGCAAAATGAGGGTCCTCATGAATGTTTGTCTTTCTGACCAGAAAGCTCTGTGAGCTTTCCCTTTCCTCCATAAGGCCTTTTTGTTAACCCATATTGTGTAAGATTTTGGGGTCCGTTATAAAACAGGTGGCAGCCCTGAAGGGACCCACCTGACTTGATTGAGGGCATAAAGTACGAAAAATAGCTCAATTATTTTCAATTGTATGGTCATAAACAATATTGTGCTGCCAAAGGTCCAGTAGAATACAATTTTTTTGTTTCAGAATTCAGTCTTTCTTATACCTTTGGAATTTAGTTTAACAAATATTTATCAGGTATGTACTAAGTTGAAGGGCTTCTACATATAAGTTCAGAGAGCATGGAGATAAGAAAAAAGTAATTCCCCACCCGAGTTGTGACAAGATTCCAGCCCAAGAAGTGGAACTGACACTGATATTGTCAAATATCTATAAATATCATGCACTAATATCCCATTTAATTCTCCTAAAATTTGGGGGGGGAGGGGATAGGAATGACCCACTGTATAAATGAGAAAACTGAAGCTTAAAGAAACTTACCAACCTGTCCATGGTCATACAGCTAGAGAATATGAGAACACATATTTAAAGCGGGGTCCTTGGGGCCAGCCAGGTGGCGCACTGCTACAGTGCACCGCTTGGGAGCGCAGCGGCGCTCCCACCGAGGGTT